TTTAGAGGGGAGGGGGGTGGGAGGATGGGTTAGCCTCGTGATGGGTATTAAAGAGGGCACGTTCTGTGTGGAGCACTGGGTGTTATATGCAAATAATGAACAGTGGAACACTACATCAAAAACTAATGATGTAATGTATGGTGATTAACAAAACAGTAATAAAAAAATGAAAAAAAAAAAACCCTGGTTGCAAAATTTGGTCAGCTCTACACTTTTTGTGAGCCTAGAAGAGTTGATTCAGAGTCACCATTGTGTTCTGTTTTTTGTTGTTAAAAGAGTGATATTGTTCTATTTGTATTTGAAAGGATTTATATTATAAAACCTACCACCACATAAGGCCAAGCAATAATAGTTTTACTTCCATCATTCTGTAGTCTGTATCACAGTTTTTTATTTATTTATTTGAAGATTTTATTTAAGAGAGAGAGACAGAGATAGCAAGAGAGAGCACAGGCAGGAGGGGAGGGAGAAGCAGGCTGTCCATGGAGCAGGGAGCCCGACACGGGGCTTGATCCTAGGACCCTGGGATCATGATCTGAGCCAAAGGCAGATGCTTAACCAGCTAAGCCACCCAGGCGCCCCAGTATCACAGTTTTATATGCTGTGCCCTGTTGTCATCTGTGTGCAGTACAGGAAAAACTCACTAGTTCAAGTTAAGTTTAAGACTCTGCCTTCATTCCTAGTCTTTCTAGCCACCACTTTCTAACTGCCTTCCCACATACAGTCTCTCCTTTTCCATCTCTCCACACTGTTGCCCAAAGGGGTTTTGTTTTGTTTTGTTTTTTTAAGATCCAGATGTGATTGTTTCATTTCTCTGACAAACCTCTGGTAGTTCTCTGTTGTCAACAGTGTCAGCTTCTCTCTTCCCCTGACCTCTCCAGCAGTTTCCCACCTGATTGTCTGCTGTTCTTCGAATATGCCATTCTCCTTCATACCTGCCAGTTTGTATGAGCTGTTCCCTCTGCCTAGAACTCTCTCCCTGTCATCCCATTCCTTGCTTGCTAAATTTCCAGTCTTCCTTCAGGACCTAGTTTAAATAGCTCTTCTCCTAGGAACCTGTCATTGGCTCCCAGAGGCAGAGAGAGAAGCTTTTTCCTTTGGCTACTCATTGTAGCATTTACATTGTGTAGCTATTACAGGTTCCTTCTTAAGTTCTTCAGGGACAAGGACTTTTCTTCTCTTCCTCCTCCTCTTCCTTCTTTCTACCTTTTTAGTTCACTGCCTAGTTCACAGCAGTTGCTTTAAAAGGTTTGGTTGTCTTGAATTTGATTAGTTTAAAACCACCATAGGAAAATACTCTGTAGTAGCTTTTTTTACTTAAGATACTTGGTCTTAACAGCTCTTCTGGCGACTAATCAGGCTCTTTTTCGGAAGCATTGTGCATGTGGGCAATCTTCAAGGGTTAAGGAGCTGAGCGGTCAAGTGCCAGCCCTTGAAGACCTCGGGTTTCTTTACCAAGAGCTACTTTAATGTTTTGTCCGCAGTGGTTATTACTACAGTGCCTGGAGTATAGTGACCACTCAGTAAGTGTTAGTTACTATCAGTATTATGCTTACTGTTAGCTCCACCAGCCAAGAATCGCTAATGCTTTGTCTAATTTGTTGTATCCAGACAATAGATTGTTCTCTTTTTTCAGATCAAATGCAAAATTATATTATGCTAGTGAATATGGTTTTTCAAACTACATGTAGACACAACCGACTGTCCCCTGGAGCTTCTCATTCTAGGGAGACACCCCTAATTGACAACCATTGCCCAGGACCCTTTCCAAAACACTCTACCCTTCCTTCTCACTGTGATCTTTCTGTCTCTAGGACTGCCTATGGCTGCAGTAGCAGTAAGAGAAGCTCTCATGTGAGAGTCTTACCCCCTGACATTATCTTTTTTTTCTGGGGTGCACTTGAGTTAAATGGTTTCCCTCACTTGACATTGCCTGAGGACTTCAGTTTGCTTCTTATATTGTGATATCCTAGGAGAAGCCTCTTTCTTATTTATATGTGAGGATAGGATATGGTTTGTGATAACATATTTTCAAAAATGATGAAATGGAAAATAATTTTCTGAAATAAGCCTCTCACCTGCTCTTGCTCAATTTAAATCTTTATTGAAAGCACTTGCTTTTCATAGTTTCTCTTTCATTTTCTCTCTCCCACTCTTATTCTCACTCTTTGTCTCTGCTTGTTTTTCCAGAAGGTGCACATTCCTCCTTGTTCATTTTAAGTAGCTTCGAAAGTTGCTGTTGATGATGCCTGAAGTTGCTTTGGAGGGAGAAAACCAACAGTGAGATCAAGAATTGTAAGAATTCAAATATGTAAAGAAAGGTTGCTGTTCTGGTTTTGAGTGCTTGAGATGGTCCAGGAAGTTGATGGGTGGAGAAGAGAGCAAGGTGGGGGGGGGGCGGAGGGGGTACTTGCCCTAACAGAAAGCACCACTTCTTGTAAAGCTGCAGTAATAAGATAATGGTAGTGGTATGGAGAAAAGTAGAACAGTAGTGGAACAGAATAGAGAACTGAGAATTATAGCCACACATACGGGGAAGCCTGCAATAGGACAGACGTGGCATTACAGATTAGGAGGGAAAAGGATAGATTGTTCAGAAATGGTGCTGGAAAATTGATTATTCACACAGGAAGAAAATTAATTGGATCCTTCTCATCAAACTCAAGAATCAACTTGCACATAGATTGAGGCCTTAAATGTGAGGGACAGGGACAAAGCTCTTAAACATTTATAAGAAATACATAAAATTATGCTTATGACCCTGGGGTAGGACAGAATTTTCATAAATAAAACATAAAAGTACAACCTGTAAAATAAATGTTGAACATTCAGCCTTATTAAATTTAAAAACTTCCATTCATCAAAAGACACCATAAAGAAGGTAAACAAATGAACCACAGGGTAGGAGAAGATGCTTAGCTTAATATTTAGAATATCCAGAATATTTAGCTTTTTTAAGCTGAACAGATTAACTACTATTTCTCTGTGACCTAGTATCTATAATCACTGGTCATGAGCAGTATCTTGGGACAGGCCCTCCCATCAGCCTTATCTGAGGCTGATTGGTCCTACAAATTTAACGTTAAAGGAATCATTATGGAAAGTTTTCTGAGTTACAAAGTCTATCAGGCAGTCATCTGTAAAATCTGCTTCAGCTCAAAACTTGAAGGAATCAAGCCACCTGTTTTTAGGGAAACCCAATAGAAAGATATACTTTTCTAGTGTTCTTTTGTTTCTCTACTATTCAATATTTCCATAAGGATATTTCTGTAATATTAAAATTCATACATTTCTTGCAGCAAACTGCAGTTAATAACAGCAACAGAAATACTAACAAGACCTAAAAGTGATAAAATTAATAGTTGCAGCTGCATATTTGGATTTTATTTCTTAATATAAAATACCTATTAGCTATCTACCCATTTGATTTCCTAGAGACTTATTTACTATTTTGAGAAAAAAGATTAGAACTCTAGACTTTTAACATGCAATAATAATGTTTTTAACAACTGTCAGTAGACTTTTCTGGTACCCGTGAAGTGATGCTTTTTTCTTCCATTTCTGTTAATTGGAACCAAACCGTAACTGGGAAAAAAGACCAGAGTGTTTTTCTTAATCACTGACACGGGTGACCTGGTTTCATTGTAGCAGGTGGTACAATACCCACTCTTACAGGATTTTGACTCCTTGGAGGCAGGGGCCAGTTGTTTTATATTTGTCAGTCACAGTTTCATGCCACCATTTCTCTCTCATTGCTATTTTAGCAATAAAATAATCTGAAGGGGAATTATGTTAGTAGATATGGCTATTTAATAGTAGATAGAATCATTGGAAAATTACCAGAGGGTGAAAACGTTTCATAGAGATCAGTGTTTACAAGTATAATACTTGAGGTAAGAACTACATGGAAGTGTTTTGTAAAATTGCATTATCTAGTTTATGGTCGAGGGAGGGCCAAGCAAATGAACTGTGTATGCATTTGTGTAGTACTATGTAGTTGGTAGTACTGTATAGTTTTTCTGTGTATTGCCGGAAATAAATTATACCAGAGCTTTTTTTCTCATACTCACTGTGAGACCAGTGCCGTCAGTAATAAAGTCTTTCTGATTTGTCCAGGAATTAGGTCCAAAGTGGAATCTCTTTATCCTGGATTCTTTGTGGAAGAGTTATTGGAAGGGGGTCAGGGACTGTTCAGTGGAGCTGTGTCTTTAGACCTGAAGAGACGGGGGTCTGTTGCATTAACAGTGCTTGCATTCAAGGGATCCTCCCCAGGAGACTAGCACACTTTTTGGTTTTTAGATGATTTTTCTTGATTTTTACAAATGATGGCACTATTTTTTCTATTAATAGAAAGCTGAATTATCTGGTTTTTTATTTAATGAGGACTTTAAATATAAATTGATGAATTTATGGGTACCACGTTTTTACCCCACGTTTTAGCACTTTAGTAATGCAGTCTCCTTACTGCTTTTCTTGGTCAGCGCTGGTGTTTGCCTTTCAGCCTATGAGTGAGTTGTGTTAGCGCCTGGACAGGGTTTTGCTTCTCACATTGCCACTGGTAAAAGAAGTATAGTTGTTGATAGCAATCTAGTGCTCCGTATCTAACGTTGATCTCATACCTTTCTCAGATAGCCACCTTCTTTTTCAGCCTACTGTGACAGGGAGCTATCCAAAAAAGTGTGATTCCCACCTCCCTGAGAGGTGAACCAAGCTGTTACAACCCAAGAGACTTGATAATTAAAGTTCTGAATTCATCTTCGACTGTGTTTACCAGGGGAAGTCTTGTTTCCAAATTGAAATGTTTCTGCTAATTAATTTTGGTACCTGTAATTGAAGAAGCTGGCACAGCATATCCAGATATGCTTAGCCTTGTAGCTGTGTCTTCTATAGAGGGCAGAATCTGCACAAGACAGTACCAAAGATGAATTTTTATTTCTAATATTTTTCAAGTAGCCTGGTTTCTCCCCACCTGATAGAAGTTGCTGCATCTTTCCAAACAGGTTCTCTAATGATCTTGCTTCACCATGGCTACAAATATGGAGGGGCTGGTTCAGCACAGAGTGGGGACCCAGCAGGTGGCTGAGGTGAGTGACAGGGGCTAGCACAATAGCTGGCACCCTTGCTTTTGAAAGGAAAAGTACATCAGTGTGCTCTGTTGTTTGAAAATAGTCCCAATGAAGTCAGCATGTGATCCAGATCCAAAGCAGGATGCTGCCATGGAAGAAAAAGTAAAAATAACAAGAACATTTGCTCCTAATGTTTCTTCGCGTGAGTAGGTGGCCTAGCTGCATATAGTAAGGTGACTTTAAAAGTTCACCTTAAACCTAAACCTAAAAGAATCCAATGCTTATCAAACTTGTGATTATAGTTTTAAATCCAAGGCTCTGTCTTAGTTTCTTGCACATTTGATACTTTGTTAAAACTGTGGTATGGTGGAAAGCCCAGTTCTGTGCACTTTGCAGTCATTATTGACCAACTACCGCGTGCTAGGGATTTGGGTAGGTACTGAGAAATCTAGAGGTAAATGAGCCATTGGACCTCCTTTAGCAGCCTCAGAACCTGGTTAAGGAGTAATTATAAATCAGGATGAGAAGTGTAACTCCATGTGAGGAACATGATCCTGGAGAGGGTTTGGATAACAAGTAAGCATTTGTCAGACAGACCCAAAGAAGTAGGGTAAGGAACTCTGAAGCTGATGCTGACGAGGGCACCCTAAGTCAGAAACCTATGTAAGGTCAGGACAGAGGCATGACATAGCTGGTATGTTCAGGCACCTTGAGGTGTAAAGGAGAAAAGTAGTAGGGCCAGATAAAAGATCTGTACCATGCAAGGGCTTTAGTCTTCACAACATCCATTTGAAGTTGGTATGATCGTTCGTGTTTTATAGGTGAGGAAACCAAGGCTCAAAGACAGGAGTAATTGGCGAATGGTACACTGACCTAGTTCTGTTCCACTTCTTCCAAAGTTCCTCCAATAACATGCATCATACTGTAACCAGGAACCATTAGAAGGATTCACATTCACACTTTTGAACCAATACTCATATTTCTAAGGCAAAGAAGCAAATTTACCCCCCAAAAATGAGCATTTAAAGAAAGAATTTAAAAAGATAAGTAAGAACACACATGCCAGTTTAAACAAATAAAAATGGTGAGCAGATTTTCCAAATTTTTGATCAACCATTAACTTTAAGGCTAATCATCTCTTTCCCCCAGGAAATAGTAATTAATATTAACTGAAGATGAAAGCAGGTAGATTTCATAAATTTTTTAATATTGCATTTTTTAAAGGGTTATCAGAGCTGTGAAAGTGTTAAGTTTAAAGTGCTTGTGTTTATTTGTTGCTTTAGCCTGTGGTAGGAATAATTACCTTGGAAATCATTGTTGATTTTTCAAAGAGTTAGGGTTATTTTGCATTTAATACAGTTTCCAGTTGAAGCTGCCTTGGAGACTGATGTATGGATCACTGCCCAAGAGGTCGTCATTAATTCTTAAGGGAAGAGATTAGTATAGGAACTTAAAATAGTCATCTACAGCAATTTATAGGCTAATCTGTTTTGTGTATGCAATCAGAAAATTTGCTAGCTAAAATTTTCTGTCAAATATCTTACTTCCTTCAGGAAATGGAATTTCATATATTAGTGCAAGTATTGTTTCCCATGACCAAAAAAAAAGTGCATTCTTAGGAGACTTCTAAAGTAGAAGGCATTGTTAATTTGGAGTGCAAAAGCAATCTTATTTAAAATATCCCCTCGATTTCCTTGCTTTTAGTTCAAGGGATAAGTATGTGTGGTGTATTCTTTGAAATTTTTGTTTGTTTTTTGAAATTTTGAGTTTATTAACTTTAAGCTACATATAATAACTATATATTAGATGAGCTAAAAGAGAGAGCCTGCAGTTCATCATTTCAGTGCTAAGTAGTAATTGAGAGGAAATGAAGTATCTAAATTGAGGAGTTATTAACAGTCACTTTTGGATAGTTGTTTATTCATTCAGCAGACAGTGAAGGAACACACCCCTTCTCTTTTTGTCGGCCAGCAAGGGCACACAGGTAAATAATAGGCTGGGTGTCTGCTTACCAAGAGCTCTATCAAGGGTGGGGGGTCAAGCATGAGACGGGCCATACTAGAAGAGTGAATAGAAAAGGACAGGCTTTCCATAGTAGAAAAGATCTGCAGGGACCAGACAGATAGGGATTTAAATTCAGGCTCTGCCATTTGCTATATGGGTGACTGCCTTGCTCCTCAGTTTCCTTGTCTAGAAAATGGGAGTAATAATAGTACCTATCTCATGGCATTGTTGTGAGAAGTCATTGAAATAAAAATGTATAAAGAGCTTTAGTAGGTGCCATGCTTTTGCTCAATGAATGAGATACAGCAACATTGTCAATCATGTAAATGATTTTCTCTCAGGTCCCCAGATCAACCTTTTTGTCTCTAGACCAGATAAGTCATAAATACCAGGGTAAACTATAAAAGTTGGATAATACAAAGTAACAACTTGATGGCTTAAGATGTTCTCAAATTTATTCAGTTATTCAGAGAGGCCCTTTAATATAGTGGTCAAGACTGTAGACTATAGAGTCAGATGGCCTAGATTTGAATCCTGGCCTTGCCACCTGAAAACTCTGTGACCTCTCTGTTTTTTTGGAATTGTTTATGAAGAATTAGTGTTAATTCTTTTTTAAATGTCTGGTAGAATTTAGCAGTGAAGCCATATGGGCTTGGGCTTTTCTTTGCAGGTAGCTTTTTGGTTACTAATTCAGTCTTTTTCATTTGTTGTATGTCTATTCATACTGTCTTTCTTTTCAAGTCAGTTTAGTGGTTTGTGTCTTTCTGAGAATTTATTCATTTTATCTAAGTTATCTAACATGTTGGCATATAATTGTTTACAGTATTCCTTTATAATCCTTTTTATTTCTCTTAGTTCAGTAACAATTTCATTCATTTCTGAGTCTAGTAATTTTTAATCTTTTTTTGGTCAGTCTAGCTTAAGGTATGTCAATTTGTTGATCTTTTCAAAGAACCACCTTTTGGTTTTCATTGATTTTTCTCGGTTGTTTTTGTATTGTCCATTCACTAATTTCCACTCTAAGTAAACCCTAATGAGATACCATTTGCATCCACTAGAATGACTAGAAATAAAAAGTCAGATAACAAGTGCTGGTGAGGAGGTGGAAAAATTGGAAACTTCGTACATTGCTTATGGGAATGTGAAATGGTGTAGCCACTTTGGAAAATAGTCTGGCAGTTCCTCAAAAAGTTAAACATAGAGTTACCACATGACCCAGCAATTCCATTCTTAGGTATACTGTTGACCCTTGATCAACACCAGGGTTGGGGTGCCAACGACTGTACAACCAAAAATCTATGTATAATTTTTACTCCCTGGAACTAACTACTAATAGCCTACTGTTGACCGGAAGCGTTACCAACAACACAAACAGTAAATTAACATATTTTTTATGTTATATGTATTATATACCATATATTTACAATAGCGCCTGACTTTTTTTTCCCAGTATTTCTAGACTATTCATTTCATCTGCAAGTTTTTTCAAATTGTCACAAATCTCCAAAAAATTTACAGCAGTATTTATGGGGAAAAAAAATCTGTGCATTAGTGTACCACACAGTTCGAACCTGTGTTGTTCAAGGGTCAGCTGTATACCCAAGAGAAACAAAAACATGTCCATACAAACACTTGAACACAAGTATTTATAGCAGTGTTATTAAAAATAGCCAAACGGTAGAAACAGCCAATGTCCATCAACTGACAAATGGTTAACAAAGTGTGGTATATACATATAATATTCTATTATTCGACTATAAAAAGTAATGAGGTACTGACACATGCTAGGGCATGGGTGAAACTTGACATTATACTAAGTGAAGAAGCCAGTCACAAAAGGCCATATATTATATTATTCCATTCTTATGAAATGTCCAGAATAGGGAAGTCTACAGAGATAGTAGATTAGTGGTTGGTTAGGGCTGTGTATTCGGGGGTGATACCTAAAGAGGGTTTTTTTTTTTTTTAAGATTTATTTATTTGAGAGGGAGAGCGTATGCTTGTGCGCACAGAGGGAGAGGGAGAAGCAGACTCCCTGCCGAGCAGAGAGCCCAGTGCGGGCTCGATCCCAGAACCCTGGGATCATGACCTGAGCTGAAGGCAGATGCTTAATCAACTGAGCCACCCAGGCGCCCCAAGAGGTTTCTTTTTCAGGTGATAAAATGTTGTAAAATTGACTGTGGTGATGATTGCATATTTCTGTGAATATACTAAAAACTACTTAATTGTATACTCGTGTGTAGATTATATGGTAGATGAATTATATCTCAATAAAACTGTTTTTAGGGGTGCCTAGGTGGCTTAGTCAGTTAAGCATCTGCCTTCAGCTCAGGTCATGATCCCAGGGTCCTAGGATCAAGTCCCACATCAGCCTCCCTGCTCAGCGGGGAGTCTCCTTCTCCCTCTTCCTTTCCCCCCACCCTGACTCATGCTCTCTCTCTCTCTCAAGTAAATAAATAAAGTCTTTAAATAATAATAATAATAAAACTTTTTTAAAAAACAGTACATAAGCAGCCAGATGCCACTGCCAAAATTAGAAAGTATTTTCCAGTATAAAAGAATAAAAAGAAATGGGGGACAGAAACCTAAAGGGATTTGTGATAACTTTCACTTATTAATTAGAATTACCTACTTCCCAAAATAGTAAAGGATGATTTACATATACAATAAACTATGCATTAAAAAACAACCATATATACAGTTTGATTCCAGTTTTGTAAAATATTTATAGCTATATACCATCTACTATGTAATACAGTGTGCCAGGTATTATGCTAAGCTTATCATCTCATTTAATACTTCCATTAACACTACAAGGAAAGTATTACTTTCCCCACTTTAAATGAGGAAACTGAGAGGTAGAGAGATGAGATTACTTTGCCAGGTTTCAAACTCCTATGTGAGTGACATCAGAACCCAGGCCTTTAATCACTATCCAGTAAGTTCATTTTTTAAAATACCCTAAATACTAACAGTGTTTTTAGTTTTCCAGGTTATGGACAATTGTCCTTATA